AACGAAATAGCTGACAGATTGGCCAGAAGCGGCAGTGACATGGTACAACCAAATAGTGACTTAAACCACCAAGAGATGAAAACATTAATACCATTTAGTATCCAAGAAGAGTGGTTGGATACACACACCAAATTCTCTCCTCAAAACTCGCTTCATCGCCTCTCTAGAGAGGGACAGTGTATTATATCTAGACTAAGGACAGGGCACAACAGACTTCGCCAACATATGTTCACATTTTTTGGTGTAGGAAACAAGGAGACGTGCCCCTGCAATTTGGCACCTAAAAATGCTGAGCATGTGCTCCAACACTGTCAACTGTATGCTGACAACAGAGACGCATTATGGCATGTTCTAACCACAATGAAGACAAAACTGTATGGTACACGAGAAGATATGGACTTCAATATAGTTTTCATAAAGGCTACCGGCCACCTGATATAAGTTTTCTGGCAGACGGATCGAAGAAGAAGCAGAAGATAATTAAAACTATTTGGCATGTGATTGATAGTCGTTACACGTGCCCCTTTTTTCAAGCATTATGTTGTTGTCATCGCCTGCCATGAATATTATACTACAGAAACAAATTTAGACTATAGGGGAGTTAAAGATAGCTGGGTTCTGTATCAAAGGAAAGGCCAACACTGCAGCAACTTCCGCATTAAGGGTATACCAGGGCTGTCGAAATATTTTGGAGGAATAGTACCAATTTTTTGTTGTTGAAAAGTTACCAACATGTTAATTGTTAATTATAATAATTAAAAAAAAAGCGGCTTCCAACTGATGTAATGAATATACAAAAAATAAAGCCAGGGATGAAGTTCATCCCCTCCATAGCACAAAGCCTAGCCAGTATTGTAGAGGCCATATGTTGCTCATGATTCAAGATCACTCACTGACTTGTTTACTCCAAAGTAAAAGTTACACCTGCACGTTTGCAACAAAGCAGGCTGTGGAACCTGTCAGATCAGTAAAGCAGTGCTCTATCTGTCCGCATGTAAGAGCTTCCCTCCTAGACCAGCTGCCAGCCAAGGCTAACGGCCTGCTCTGCCCTGCCATAACATAAAGTTTTCAGGTTGTATTTCCTCTTCCCAGGATAAGGCTAGTATCCTCCCAAATTCGTCCCTCCACCCAAAGCCTTTAACACAATATGAGATATTAGGTTTGGTGTACGCCGCACAACATTCGGCATTAACAAAAGACAGGTGGTACCGGCTACTGTTACACAGTAGCTCAGTTATATCTGAACAACACCTGATGCAATTAATGTCTTTGAGCAATAAATTTACTCTCATCAAATTCAATTCAGTTATTGTTACGGTCCTAAAATGTGTTTTTCTTGCTTTTTTATTTATATCTTTTTTGTTTTGTTAAGGAGAGATAAAACTAAAACGTACTAAAAAGTACAGTTCTGCTCGACAAGGGTCAAATAGTACCAAATTTGTACGAAAGTATATTTAATTACATGATTTATACATTTAAAATAACACACACACACACACACACACATATATATATATATATATATATATATATATATATATATATATATATACTCGGAGAACTCAAGTAACAATTTATATCTCAGTTATAACCCTGAGGGTTAAACAGGATATGTTTTGAAAAATTACTACGACTACCATTACTACGTCGGCTCTGTGGCTAAGTCGATGCGAACGCTTCGAAATGCCGGGATGCCGGGTTTGATCCCAGCTGCGGGCCATGCGCCTTGCGTTGGTTTCGACAGTGGTATCAAGAAAGCCGACCGTTCAGATGCAATAGCAAACTACTGGACGTAAATTTGCCTAGAAAAACCACACAACAGCCAGGGGCTGTTGATGCTGGTTCTGCAACGTCCTGTAAAGGATACGCAACTAACCCACAAATATTACTACAACTTGGACAGCCCTGGTGTGTACACAAGTTTGTGGTGGTCTCTGTGGCGTGTTGATGATAGGAAGCCCACCGCAGCATCAAGTGGGTGTGTTCAAGTGGTGTCACCTTGTGGATTATCTTCTAGTGCCACTTCTCAGTTAGTTACCGATGATTTTTAAAGTACTATTCTAGCCAAGTCGGGGTTAAACTTACTTGCTTTTATCTTCAATGGTGATTTTTTTTTTTTCAATTAGAAAACACACCTGCCTATAGAGAACATCATGAGGCATTTCATTACTGTGTAACTAGTTTAGTTAACTTTAGTACGTATCGGATCGGTATCAATCAGTTTGGCTTGCCTAAACGTATACCTGGGGTGCCCTGACTTAATTTTAACTATGAACTTTCCATCTTCATTCTTGATTAATATTTGATTGATAGTAGTGTTGTTGGTGGGTATTTAATTTCATAAATTCACACTAAGGATGCGGGGTTAAACTAATGGATGAATACAAGACATCTTTGACTTTACAGTTAGTAATGTATGTATACAGTATAAAAATACTAATACAGATTTTCTACAAATATTGAAGTCATAAATTGTGTTTTAAAAATGTATTTAGTTTCGTGGTTATTATTAATGATTAATTATCTCGGCAGTGTTTTCGGAACTAAATCAAGATCACAGTGAGCTAGTTGAAACTATACTACTTCCTCTTATCAGTGCAGTGCTGATATGTCAAAGTGGTAAAACTAAAACATGAGAGACAAGAACTGACCATTTGTACGTTTATATACAAGTACATTGTAATAGTCTTTGCTTGAAAACAAAAAAAGTTCTTAGGATAGGGCTTCTTGCTCTTCTTCTTCTTCTTCTTCTTCTTCTTCTTCTTCTTCTTCTTCTTCTTCTTCTTCTTCTTCTTCTTCTTCTGCTTTTCCTGCTCTTCCTTCTTCTATTCCCTCTTTTTCACTAAAGTCATGAACGGCGATGTGTGTTATTTCTAATAAGCTGCAGAAGTTGGTCTTAATTTCTGTAAAGTTTTTGTTGTTATTGATGGCAACATTCCATTTTGTCTATGGTCACATCTGCTCTGTATTCATTATATTTCTTCAGTTGGCTGTCAGTGGCAGTCCTTGTCTTCTTTTTTTAAATTCACCTTTTCTTGAGGCCTTTTTATGTTCATTCGATAACAGCTTGAGCATCCATCCCTTTTTTTTTTGGAACTGTGGAAAATTCTTTTAAGATATCTCAACCCTGTTATTATAATTTTACACTCATCACGGTTGTGATAGGGACTAAATTTAAAAAAAATGAGTTTAGTGTCCACGGAAAGGAAAACATTAAAAACAATAAATTAGACACAGAGATGGGTAGTTGGGGGGTAGGGGGGAGGGTTAAGGCAAGAAAAGAAACATACATCAGACTCCCAGGCACAGATTAGTGGTATGGAAACAAAAACAGAAGTAGCTGCATACAAGACGAGAGTATCTCGTATCTAAGAAAATGAAAGAAATAAAAACCAGATAATGGAGGAGGAGAAGAAAACAAAATAACATCAACAATATCATCGATGACGACAATGCATTATCATTGACTATGAAAATCAAAAAATGAAAAAAGAATGAGACGAGTTATGCATAGTAGAAGCTATCTTATTTCTAGTAGCATCATGTATCGTAACCTAAAACCTATATGTGTAAAACATTGTACTGGATATCATTTTTTTGGCCAACAATGTCACAAACAAAATAAAAGAGGGAATTAAAACTCACAGAATGTCAAATTTCAAATGTGCCATATAGTATAATACTGTAACCAATCTTCCGTATTCTGACAACATGTGCAGGATATGGCAGGTGTCATACAAGGATATAGTCGGTTCTATTTTCTTGCAGTAGTAATAGAAAACTATTTGTGTGTGTGTTAAAAGTGTTCTTGTTTTGAGCTGAGAAAAGAACTGCCATCACAGTGCTCAGGACATTTCCATAAGCGCTCCGTCCTTATCTTCTGCAGCCAGTGAAGCGTTCCAGTTCTGATGGTACCGGTAGCAATCTGATTGTATGTATGTCCTTCCTGCATTTCCTCTGAGTGTTGAGTGGCAACCAGATTCCCATGGTCATATCTAGTTTGTAATGCATCAATTCACCACTCACTTGTGAAGCACCTGTTAATCTATCTGCCTGTTTGTTTTCCAACATACCTCCATACCCATAATGTTAACAATAACACAGGTTGCTTGACTGCAGTCACCCCCATAGTTTCTCCATACCCATAGATCAATTTAAACAGAGCGAACAACCAGTCATATTTTAAGTAAGGTTTATAATATTAATGGTATGGTTTGTTGTTGTTGCATTTAGGTAGTCAAGTAAGCTAATTAACAAGCTATATATAGGTAAAGTGGATAATAAGAATAAAGTGGATAATGAGAATAAAGTGGATAATGAGAATAAAAGAAGTGAACAATAACACAGGCATCCTTTGGTGACAATCCAGATGTGTAACCATACGCCTAGTTAGGCAAATATCATGAAAAGATATAAAACCGAATTAAACATGCAACAATTTAGATGTAGTTAAGCAAACATAATGAACCTTTTCATCTGCATTCATCTTTAAAAGGGCAGTTGGCACACTGTGTTGTGATAGCTGCAAAGTTTTCTTCATGCATATTTTATTATTGGAAAATTTTACCTGCATAATGAGAAGAAAGTTAACAATATTTAGGTATGAGATAAAAGTAATTAATTCAAATATTTAACAGCATTCCTTGTTTTGCGAGTCTGACTCGTAATCCAATGTACCGCGATCGAAACCCACTGCGGGCTGCATGGATTTTTATCGTGGTATGGGACATCGCAGGTCGACCCAGCCTTAAATGGGTACCAGGATGGCTATCCTGAGTAAGTAAAGACGGCCGGCGTAATGCTGACTACATTACCCACCAGGTGCCGATTGGTCTGTAAAAATATGGGTGCTCTTCCCATATGCCCGATGCGCCTAAAGGCGTGAAAAGGGATCTTTACTTTTTACTTACTTATTCCTTGTTTTTATTTAAGAAAAGGTTTAGATAAGGAAACAAGCAAATAATGTCAGTATCCAAGCGTGACTAATAACGAAGTGTGCAATGAACATCAGTAATAGTAGCATGCCAGAGGCTGTTCGGAACACCCTCTCCCCAAGGGATTGGGCCACTAGAATTCAGATTAATGGAGTTTTATCAAAAAAGCCACTGGGTCACCAGTCAAGCAGATGGACAAAAAGGTATGTACAAATGTATGGTAAACATTTACATTTTCTACTGTCTTTTAGCTTTGCATGCAGCATTGGTTTCCAACCTTTTTCAGGTGGCGCCCCCTTGAATATATGGCAAGACCCCTCCTTCCCCGAAACCTAAAATAAAATTGAGTAGAAGGAGGACAGTCGTCGTGGCAGAGCGGCTAGACTCTTGTCTGCAGATCGGAAGGTCGTGGGTTCGCTCCCTGATAAAACCTGACTTTTTTTCAAAAATAACCTTGGCTCCCAGGTCGACCTAACCTAACCTTGAGTGGGTATTGCAGTCCTGGGAAGTAAAGATGCTGACCACATCACTCATCTTGGGCCGATTGGTCTATAAAATAAAGGTCTAGCCCTATATGCCCTATACGCCTAAAGGCGTGGAAAAGGGTCCTTTACTTTTTACTTACTTAAAAGGAGGATGGAAAAATCCCAAGCACTATTAACACCAACTTGGAGAAAAACATTCACATAAATCAAAATGTAAAATAACATAAAAGAAACAATCAGAGCTACTGCTAATTTAGTGTCCAAATTTCAATGTGATGTTTGACACTGTTTTATCTTGATGATATCTGCTATTTGTGATCTGCTGTTGGATAAGGCACAATAGAGAAATCACTCTCCACGTCAAGCTGGTACACTGTGTTGTTCTTATGTCTGTTAAATTTTAGTTTACAATTAAACTGGAAAATAATGTTGGTATAACAGATGATTACAGCTGCAGATGAACAGAATTTCAAAATTACTTGATATCCCTCTTGAAAACTTACAAAGTTCTCCCCATCCTGTCTTCATGCTTTAGTCATTTGAAACATTTAGATTGCTCATTTTGACTGTCCTGTGTGAGTTCCTGGCCCATTTGTAGTACCTACTCCCCCCCCCCCCCCCCCCCTCCCGACAGAGCATTTAAAGAAAGGAAAAGATGCTGGAGAATTTCTGTCATCCATGGAAGTTTGACTGCATCTGCCTGACAGGTGAGAAACGAACAGTCGGCGCATAAATAAGCCAGGTCTGTAAACTGCCATGTAGTGGAATTTGCATGTTTTGCACAAGAATACTGTCCTCCGTGGATGAAAGATCAGAACTTTCTGCGTCTCGGATAGCTGGTGAGTCTTCTTGTCTCACTGGAGAAGAAGAAGAAGGAGAGATGAAGTTCAAGAAGGAGAAGAAGAAGGGTAAGAAGAAGCTGTAGAAGAAGAAGAGAAGAAGAAGGAGACAGAAGGTTGAAGAAGAATTACCAACGCTACAAGAAGAAGGACTTTAACAAGAAGAAGAAGAAGAATGACAGGAGAAGAAGAAGAAGAAGAAGCAGGAGAAGAGGACCCACAAGAAGAAGGAGAAGAAGAAATACTAAAGGAGAAGAAGTAGAAGAAGAAGAAGAAGCCTGAAGGCGAAGAAGAAGAAGAAGAAGGAGAAGGAGAAGAAGAAGAAGGAGAAGAAGTAGAAGACTTTAAAAAAAAATTGTAAGCACTTTTCTGTAAATTTTCATCTCAGAGATTTCAGGGAATGTTTGGCATACTTACTCTTTGTAAATGTAGATTTTTAGTAGATAGCCTCCATTCTTTGGTCATGTCATGAGAAGGAGAAAACTCGAGCACATCGTGATGGGGGAAGAGTTAGGAGGGAGAGGGCAGAGCAAGGCCGAGAGAGAAGATGGTGGACATTTGACATCATGCAATGGAGGATCATCTGTGTCAGAGTTGATTGAAAGTACAGGAGACAGAAGGATGACATGGCATGGACTTTGAGAAACACAATTTTTTAATGTAGATTTTACATTTTGCAAATGTCCTTCTCGGATACTGTTAGCAGTCATAGCTTGTTAAATTTTGTCTACAGGTTTTTCTTGGTCAAAGATGGATTTCTGATGTACTATGACGTCAATGAGAAAAAAGATTATGAAAGACGAGATTATTTCAACATTCACCCCAAGGTTTGTTTCTCTATATTGTCTTTAAAATAAAATGACCTTATCTTGCTTTTCTTCCTCATAGTTCGTAGTAGAGTAGGTCAGAGGTCAGAACAAAGGATAATCTCTTCTGATCTTGGGTACCGGACTGGAAGCATGACCTTCTCAGATAAGTGTCATCATCATCATCATGTAGCAGGTTCTTTGCAGAACGTCGCTCTCATCACAGTCTGCCTGAAAGAAACTCGGTCTCTCGCCAGTTCTCCCGCCTCATGCACTTTCACACTCAAGGAGTCACTTATATCCTGTGCCCATCTTCGTGTCAGTCGGCCCTGCCCCTCCTTCCTGGTACCATGCCTTCTGTTATAATTTTTTCCAATCCGTCGTGGCGCTTGATGTGACCAAAATATTTCAGCTTTCGAGAGAGTATGCTGTTTATTAGCCAATCTTCCTTGATGTTCAGATCTGTTAAGATGTCAATATTTCTCATCTTCTTTGTCCAAGATATTCTAAGAATCTTTCTATAGCATTTCAGCTCAAAAGCCCCTATTCTCTTTCAGATAAGCACACACACAAAAACATGGGGCCTATGTGTGTGTTTTACATGTTTAGATTTCTTCAGCAGCTGAAAAGAAGGAAAAAAAACCCAGACAGAATAGACAACTGCCTAGGAAAACCTTCAAATTGATAAAGGGACCTACAAAGAAGGAATATTTACGGCACACAGGATTCTTGTTTATAAACATTTTGATCCTTGCCTGTGCTACAGAGTTTGTGTGCTGTGCTGAAGCTATCCTTGTGCAATCTGATCGAGGAGGCTTTAGCAGTTATGGAGATGTCTTGATTCAGACCCGAACAGCCTTACACTCTTTCAAGCTTCCTGACACAGAAAGAGTTTATTTATGTGTATATTATATTACTGTATGGGGCTACCTGGCCTCGAGACATGGTATGGCGTCATCCTTGAGGGCTGGAGGTTTCAGGTTCAAACCCCTTTGAAGGCTGGGATTTTTTTCATGTGGTCCTCTAGTAATTTTCCCTGGTCTTTTGGTAGTAAGATCAGACGTCCATGTGTATTGTTGCGCAATGAAAAATTCATTGGATGGAAAAGAGAGCACACCACAGTGTAGATGGATTCAAGATCTTGTAGATTATTTACACACAACACAGCAACAATGACTTATAATGGATGCATGATTTACTTTAGATAATTTGTGAAGGTCTGTTTTGGGAGCAAAATTCTTTACAGAACATGTTGCTAGATGTTGATAAAAATTGTGTGTCCTATGTCCTGCATCATTTTTTTTTCCCAGAATTTTCTGTTACTGTACACATCATCATCAACATTACTGTACACATCATCATCAACATTACTGTACACATCATCATCAACATTACTGTACACATCATCATCAACATTACTGTACACATCATCATCAACATTACTGTACACATCATCATCAACATTACTGTACACATCATCATCAACATTACTGTACACATCATCATCAACATTACTGTACACATCATCATCAACATTACTGTACACATCATCATCAACATTACTGTACACATCATCATCAACATTACTGTACACATCATCATCAACATTACTGTACACATCATCATCAACATTACTGTACACATCATCATCAACATTACTGTACACATCATCATCAACATTACTGTACACATCATCATCAACATTACTGTACACATCATCATCAACATTACTGTACACATCATCAACAACATTACTGTACACATCATCATCAACATTACTGTACACATCATCATCAACATTACTGTACACATCATCATCAACATTACTGTACACATCATCATCAACATTACTGTACACATCATCATCAACATTACTGTACACATCATCATCAACATTACTGTACACATCATCATCAACATCACTGTACACATCATCATCAACATCACTGTACACATCATCATCAACATCACTGTACACATCATCATCAACATCACTGTACACATCATCATCAACATTACTGTACACATCATCATCAACATTACTGTACACATCATCATCAACATTACTGTACACATCATCATCAACATTACTGTACACATCATCATCAACATTACTGTACACATCATCATCAACATTACTGTACACATCATCATCAACATTACTGTACACATCATCATCATCAACATTACTGTACACATCATCATCAACATTACTGTACACATCATCATCAACATTACTGTACACATCATCATCAACATTACTGTACACATCATCATCAACATTACTGTACACATCATCATCAACATTACTGTACACATCATCATCAACATTACTGTACACATCATCATCAACATTACTGTACACATCATCATCAACATTACTGTACACATCATCATCAACATTACTGTACACATCATCATCAACATTACTGTACACATCATCATCAACATTACTGTACACATCATCATCAACATTACTGTACACATCATCATCAACATTACTGTACACATCATCATCAACATTACTGTACACATCATCATCAACATCACTGTACACATCATCATCAACATCACTGTACACATCATCATCAACATCACTGTACACATCATCATCAACATCACTGTACACATCATCATCAACATTACTGTACACATCATCATCAACATTACTGTACACATCATCATCAACATTACTGTACACATCATCATCAACATTACTGTACACATCATCATCAACATTACTGTACACATCATCATCAACATTACTGTACACATCATCATCAACATTACTGTACACATCATCATCAACATCAGCAAATGCCTTGTTGAATGGTGTGGGTTTCTCCACAATGCCTGTGATCTCCAACATCATGTGTTGACACTCTTCCGTGCCATAACAAAAGGATGTCGAGAATCATCTCATGTGGTCCTTGTCTCTTTTTCTATATATCGTTCCAGTCATCACAACTTGTTCCAGTTTCCCTTTTCTCATACCATAGCATTATGATGATTCTCTCTCTACTCACAAGCCATGTTAGGAGGGGTGAAGACGGGTATGCTCCGTGCGGAGTGGCAGGTGTCACTTCAGGGGTCCCGGATGGTTGGCATCCTGTGGATGTTTTCTCCAAGTTGCGCAAGTGTGTTAGGATGTGCGCGGGCGGATTTACTGGCCTGTTCTGCAACACTTAAGTGGTGATCTGATGTATGACAAGCTGGATGTTGTGAGGGCCCTTTGGGAGCGAGTGAACAGTGCCGACGAACAGATAGATCATTACGGTCTGAGGAGAATGGCACTGGGAGGAGTTACTAGGGGATCTGGCTGATGCTTGACACTCAGGGTAAAGGTAAGACGAACATACAATCAGACAGTTACTGGTACCATCAGATTTTTAACTCTTCACTTGCTGCTGAAGATGGGGATGGAGCGCTTATGGGGGTGTCCCGAATGCTGTGATGTCGATTCTCAATTCAACATTCAACATATTACGGTCTCTTTCCTATATGTGTGGTAAGTTGTCTTGGAATCCTGGCCTCTGTTAAAAACATCTGGATTATTCCTTTTGGCTACCCAGAGAATTGTAAGCATTCTTCTGTAAAATCACATCCCTGTTTCTTGTTTACTGATTGTCCAGGATTAGTGGCAGTATGTTAAAGTTAGCTCTATGTAGCATGCAGTTTACTGATTGTCCGGGATTAGTGGCAATATGTTAAAGTTAGCTCTATGTAGCCTGCAGTTTACTGATTGTCCAGGATTAGTGGCAGTATGTTAAAGTTAGCTCTATGTAGCATGCAGTTTAATCATTGTACGGGATTAGTGGCAGTATGTTAAAGTTAGCTCTATGTAGCATGCAGTTTACTGATTCTCCGGGATTAGTGTCAATATGTTAAAGTTAGCTCTATATAGCATGCAGTTTACTGATTGTCCAGGATTAGTGGCAATATGTTAAAGTTAGCTCTATGTAGCATGCAGTTTACTGATTGTCCGGGATTAGTGGCAATATGTTAAAGTTAGCTCTATGTAGCATGCAGTTTACTGATTGTCCGGGATTAGTGGCAATATGTTAAAGTTAGCTCTATGTAGCCTGCAGTTTACTGATTGTCCAGGATTAGTGGCAGTATGTTAAAGTTAGCTCTATGTAGCCTGCAGTTTACTGATTGTCCACGATTAGTGGCAATATGTTAATGTTAGCTCTATGTAGCATGCAGTTTACTGATTGTCCGGGATTAATGGCAGTATGTTAAAGTTTGCTCTATGAAGCATGCAGTTTACTGATTGTCCACGATTAGTGGCAATATGTTAATGTTAGCTCTATGTAGCATGCAGTTTACTGATTGTCCAGGATTAATGGCAGTATGTTAAAGTTAGCTCTATCTAGCATGCAGTTTACTGATTGTCCAGGATTAATGGCAATATGTTAAAGTTTGCTCTATGAAGCATGCAGTTTACTGATTGTCCACGATTAGTGGCAATATGTTAATGTTAGCTCTATGTAGCATGCAGTTTACTGATTGTCCAGGATTAATGGCAGTATGTTGAAGTTAGCTCTATCTAGCATGCAGTTTACTGATTGTCCAGGATTAATGGCAGTATGTGAAAGTTTGCTCTATGAAGCATGCAGGTTTTATTTTTTCTAACCTCCCATGACAGGGATTTATTGCTCAATATGTTCTTCATTTTATTCGATACAGTTCTTGTCTGCCAGATTCTGTTGTTTATCTCTGATCAATCTTCCATTTGATGTTATCCAAGTTTCAAGATACCTACATTTCTGTATTTGTCCCAAAATAACAGCAAGGACCTTAATTGTATGAGGCACTGTTATTTTATTTGAGTGCTTCAGACTTTCAGCCCAGTATAGCTAATAAGTAGGACAGTCCCTTTAGCATTGATGTTATTTTTGCTTCTGGCAAGATATTGCTTATGCAGTTTTCCCCATATGGACAGGAGTTTATGGTTTTGCCCCCTATATTACTGAGAGTAGTGCTTGGTACAGCACTTTGAGCTGTGCATTTTACGTGGAATGCCTTTTGTTTGTACCTACAGTGGTTGTGTTATGATATTCAGAAACTGGCGCGTAGCTGATTTGTGTTTGGACTGGCAAAATGCCTTATGCAGTAATTTTGCCTGTGTATTGCTATCCATATCTGACTGACTACTTATTTTCATCAAAGATAAATTGCATTTCTGGTGGTGATTGTTGTTATTGACATCTCTAGCAGCAGCCTTGTGCATTTACTGCATGTGCATGATTGTGGATTTTGCCGGGACTAATTGTTTGATCCTTAGTTTTTCATATGGGCCAGTGAGGGATATTTAGTGCAATTTCCACTGATACACGAAAAAAGCAACTATGGGGCGACCCATTTGCAGTGAAGCTGAAACCTCTACTACTACTGTAGTGCTGCAAAATGTTGTATATTCTGTTTCTTTCACTTGCTGAAAGTGCTATATTACAGTACTTTAAGTGTTCTTTAACTCTGTTGTCTCCACTTTTGCAGGGTGTAGTACCACTGGGGGAGTGCCACTTCAAGCCTTGTAGGGAACCACAGCAGCCATTTTGTATTCTGCTTGAGAGCCCAGAGATTGATGTGAGTTATGTGTTTTTGTTTCTGTTGACTTGGAATCAAAAACCCATTTTTCTACTGATGTTTTTGAAGATTTTTTTCCCAGTGTTAACTAGTATTTATTTGCTGTTGTCTAAGTAATATTACAGCAAATTTTATTTTAAAAGTCTGTGGTTATCCATTTTAAAACCTTTTTAAGTTGGAATTTCCCATTTCAAGACTGGAAGTCCAAAAGCTTTGTCACCCAGCTACTAAGTAGAGTGCTTGGTGTGACACAGTGAGCTGTGGAATTCATGTGGAATTTTTTTTTCTGATGTGCCCGAGGTATGTTGGATAAATTTTTAGAGGAGATGAATAGACTGTGAACCCCATAGGACATAATGACACAACAGGACCGTGCATGAATGAATTATGAGAGCAACATTTTGCAGTGGATCTTCAGCATAGTGGTGAAGAGCAAATAGACTGAACAAGAATTTCAGGTAATAAAAAGTATTTTAGTGTGCAGAGTTTTTGTTTGTGTGTGTCTGGGACCAGATGAACACACAAACAATTTGAATCATTGTTGACATGGAAAATTAATAAATGTAAAAATTTTTAAAATTCAATATTGAAGTGAACACATAGGAAATGTGAGTTGTTTAATCGGATGATAAAGTGAACAGATAAGACAGCTGCGAGTCCTTATGTTAGACTAGAAGATGCTGCTACAGAAGTCCTCGTCTGGATTCTAGAGTCCCATCTTGGGAATGGGAGGAAGAATAGCCCCCTACTGCAGGCCCTACCCATCATGCATGTGGTAAATAGCAACTAAGTATGTGTTTTCTAAAACTGACTGTGTTGGGCTGAAAGTTGCAGATACCACAGTACTACTGCAAACCACAGCACAGTGTACCAACCGCCCGTGTAAGAATTAATGCAGAAGAAGAAGAAGAAGAATACCCTTTACATTCATAAGGATATATCTGATTTTAAGTGCAGATATCCATGACATGTTTGGCTTGTTGTACACAAGCCAGGTTTTTCTACATCTGCAATTATAAGTAGCTTACCTGAGCCTAGCATCCTGGAGGATTCACACAGATTATTTGTGTAAACTTTAAATTGTGGCTGGTAATTGGCTGTGCACCTGAACGTATTTAGTGACATTTAAGTGTGAATAGAAGGTAAACACCAGGGCCCTGTACAATGGTTCTCAATCCATGGGGGAAATGGTAGCTGGTGATATTCTATTAAACGAAAAAATTTAGTAGCATGTTCTCTTTAGGGTGTCTCAAACCAGCATCAGCCATTTATTGGCTGCAGTATGATTTTGATTATGATTACTCTTTCTAATGTCATGGTGCCGGGTTCGACCGCAGCTGGGTACGATTTGTCATGCATTGGTTTCAACAATGGTACTGAGAGCTGACCCTAGCTGAAAGTAAAATTTGCCTAGAAAAACCACAACAGCCAACAATGCTGGTAGTCTTAGTTTCAGCTTCGTAGCAAACGGGTCACCCCATCGTTGATCCACTCCTGTGCCAACGAAAAACACACAGAATGTTTATAATCACAGTCCCTTGTGGAAAGATTGACAGACTGCTGTCTCAGCATATCTAGCATACACATGCATTAAAAGCATACTGTAGCCATCAGAAGGGCTAACACAAACAGTCCGACATTAGAAATGCATTCATCATTGATGGTAGCAGAAGTCACCAACAGATCAATTTTAATCACATAAGGGCACTGCCAATATTGCGACAACAGACATCACACCATTTTCTGAATCTACAATTCACAATACCACGTTGGTCACAGTCGAAAAACATTCCAAATGAAATCTGCAGCTCACAGTGTCATGCCATGCATTCAACTCAAAAGCTGGGCGACAAAACTATATCCTTTCAGTCTACAAATGGAGCAAAAATGCAATAGCCACCGCCTGGCAGAAGCAAAATATTTGCCTCGGTTCCAAAAAGTGCCCGTGCCTAGCGTCCATTTTGATCGGTTAAAAATGCTGGATTTGGTTCTGTAACATCCTGTAAATTATATGCAACTAACTTAGTGTGATCTTAATGGGTAATTCTTTTTGTCTAATGGTTTCCTTAGTTTTGTTTTTTAATGCTACACTGTTCATATTGTTGTGACAATTAACACAAACCAATCTGCTGCCATATTTCCTTAATTATTTTAACTCTTTGAGTCCCAAGGAAATCATCTGACGTTTATAGATTCCTTCCTAGAGGCCCAATGAATGCAAGATGCGCCGATTTTACGTCTCTCTTGACTTCCTCTTGGGCCTGTGATGCTAAACCCCCTGCGACTCAAACAGTTAAGAATAGCTGGCTTTGGAATTGTCAGTGCAGTTTAAAATCATCAGCAGCTGATATTGAACCTTAGTATGTCAAGATTTCCCTGCCTGGTCTGGACTTCAAATTACTTTGTAACTGTCAAAGGCCTCAATAGAACTTTACATTTGAACTTGGCGTTTGTCTGGGCAACCACTGGTAACAACAGTTAATGGACAAAGCAAATGAAAGAAGAAGAAGTTGTAAGACAAGAAAGAGGGTGCTGTAGTGGACACATCCTGAGAAGAAACAAGTAGGGAATAACCAGACAGACACTAAAATGGGAAATAAAGGGATTGAAGAAGTGAAGATGTCTGAAAGAAACCCAAAAATGAAAGTTGATGAGAAAGGCCAAAGGTGCTGGACTGGATTCCATCCCTGATATTGAAAGCATTGCACAGGATAGAGGAATAACTGCAAGCTCTGTGTGACATATAACGGCACAACAAGACAATGATGATGATGATGAATTGGGTTTATGTGGATTGGTACATGTAAGATTCTCAGCTTTGAGGTGGTAATCCAGGGGACTGTTAAACCAGAGGGGGAAACTGCCGCAAAACCTAAGTTTTTTTATTGTGAGTTGAGGTGAGTCAAGAATTGCCAGTGCAGAGTTCTTATGCTGATGGTAACAGTCACAATCTGGTTAATTGTCCGTCTTGCCTTTCCTTTCCTCTGAGTGTAGTCAGCCGGCCAGACACTCTGTTAAAACCCAGGTGCCTCATTCTCTCCAGGACATAATAATCTTGTTTTCTCTACTGATTCCGCCCGGCTCTCTAGCGTAGTTGGCTAAACCGGATTGCGCGGTGACCGGGTGACGAACTCCTTGTGGTCCGGGTTCAGGCCCGGGGGTAGGCAGAAAACCCACATTTCTCCCAGATATACGGTACCTGTCATGGAATCAAGGCCGAAAGGTTGCGATATCCATAATACCGAGCCTAAGGGTTAACAACTCATGGCTTCTGTATACCAAAACAAACAAACTACTGATTCCGTAGCTTGTTTCCAAAGGGCCTTAACCACATCTGCCTTGTCATGTATCAGTTCGCCATCCGGTGGTGCAGATCCAGTCAATCTGTCTGCCACTACGCCAGCAGGGCCTGGAAAAAAAAAGACCCAAAGTATGCTCACTACCCGTGTCCTTCCCAGTGAAGCTTGCCACTCTGCTCGAAGCATCCCTGTCTTCACCTTTCTCAGCATGCTTTCAGAGTCTGTTACAATTACGACATGTGTATGCATCTTGTTCTTTAGCCTCAGGAGAGCTGCAGATTTGGATTATGAAACAGTGGTAACAATTCCAAATCCACAAATTCAGGCTGTTCCTAACAATTAAACAGTTGTAACAATAACAGCAGGGACAAGTTTTATAGAGTATTTAATATCACTTTATTTCTTTGATGTGATATAGGCCGCTTCCCTTTTTACCTTATTGTCAGGACTCATTCACATCCATAATCCTCTTTGATGCTGCTGATACCAGTTGTTTCTGAAAATCAAATCATATTGTTTTCGGTCCATATCATGCTAACAGACACCTTTGCTTTATTATATATGTAATGTATTGTTTAGTATGCACAAGAACTTTTAGGTCAACCTTCAGTTTGAGGTTTTTAAGTTTATTTTAAATTAACTTCATTTTCAACATTATTCTTGAAGGGAAGCCACTCACTGAACATGTTGAGAGTCACTGAACTTGTGCATGAAAAAAATATACTTAAAAAAACTTTGTGTGAGGTGACCCAGATTTGTAGAAGAAGCTGGAGTGACGTTCATACATTCCAGACACATTATTAATTTCCAAAGTCTAAAGTAACATTTGTTAGATAATGTTACAGGCTCAGAAATCCACTTGCAGTTAATACTCATATAATTTGTAATGTTGCAATTTAAGATGTTTAGTAGCAGTTTTCTTACTTCTAAACTGTTTCTTCTTCTTCTTCTTCTTCTTCTTCTTCTTCTTCTTCTTCTTCTTCTTCTTCTTCTTCTCTTCTTCTTCTTCTTCTTCTTCTTCTTCTTCTTCTTCTTCTTCTTCTCTTCCTCTTCTTCTTCTTCTTCCTCATCTTCTTCTTCTTCTTCCTCCTCTTCTTCTTCTTCCTCCTCTTCTTCCTCCTCTTCTTCTTCTTCCTCCTCCTCCTCCTCTTCTTCTTCTGCCATATTCCCCCTTAAAATTATGCACAGCATGTTTTTAGTTTACAGCTAGGCTGTGATTTCTGTGTCTTTCAAACCAACTTGTCTGATTTCAGCATATCTTTAATTCTATCTATCTCTTCTTCACTTTTACCGGGTTGCAGCACAGTGTCGTGGTTTAAAATATTTGTTTTGTGCCTCTCGTGTGATTTGAGTGGCAGTTTTCTGGATCTTCTGGCCGTATTCAGCTACTCCATCTATCCATTTTTTTTCTGGGTCTTCCTCTGGCCTTTCTTCCCGATGTTCTATTGTAAAAGGCCTTATAGGCAGTCTGATCCGGTTGCATTCTTACTAAATGACCAAACCACTTCATTCTCTGTCTTTCAATATGTTCCATGCATGCTCTTGTTCCAACTTTGTCTCTAATGCTGACGTTTGTGACTCTGTCTCTTCGTGTATTGTTGGTGACTCTTCGGAGACATCGCATTTCACACGTAGTTATTTTTTGCATATGTGATTTGTTATATCTTAAATTAGTCCCCTTTATCACATTGGTAAGTCTATACTCCCCCCACCCCACCCACCCTAAAACCACGCTGGCAACGTTTACACTGATTTTCAGTCACATCTTTTGTAATTATATTTTTTTTTAAAGAAAAAAATTGTTATTGTTGTTATTGTTCAAAGTGTTATGGCTTGACTCACTAGTAGTGCAGCCTGGCATGATGTAACTAGCAGACTTGCAAGCAGGCTTCAGAAAACAGAAACTGTTATATCATATATATATATATATATAGTGGCTTATGTTGCTTGACAACACCAGGTCTTGGATTTTTTTTTGCTTAGGGTATGTATGTGTGAGGGAGGGAAAGAGCAGACAGATTAGCTGTTCATGACTCTGATCAGTGACCTACTTTAGGATAAGACTGTCATGAGAAAGGCTGTCTTGGATTGGGGGTATGGAGAACGGACAGAACATCCGTGTATGGTAACTGGTTCATTGGGAAGTCAACAAAGGATCTGGAAAATACTTAGTGTGTAGGGAAATAGATAAGGCACTTTCCACCATCAGTATGAGGACTCTCTGTAGCTACTGAAGGAGGGGATGGTGCATATGGTGGTTTATTGTCTCCATAGAGAGGGACTGTAACATTTGCAGAAAAATGACAGCGCATAACAGACTTTGCCGACATATGTTCGACTTTAGGAAACATGGAGATGTATTCCTGCAACTTTCTGCTTGGAAATGCTGAATGTGTACTACAATACTGTAAAATATGCTGCTAACAGAGAAGCCATCTGGTCTGTTTCCACCTCAGTCAGTACAGAGTTCTTTGGCAGACAAGGAAGATTTGGACTGCTTGATAGCTTTCTTCAAGGCTACTGGCCCGTTAGTTTTCTGTCAGAAAGATCAAAAGAAGAAAAAAGGAAGAAGAAAATGTTTGTGATAGGGTGTGACTAAGGAAGTGTGACAAGAGACTGGCTGGCACCCTTGCTCTGTAAAAATTGAGCTGCTGCTACTTCTTCTATTTTTGTCCTCAGAAGGGTGGTTTGACATGTTGTAGTTTACAGCTAGGCAGCAGTATCTGCACCTTTTGGCCCAGATCATCTAGTTTCAGCAAACTCCTAATCAGACGCCTCTTATGACATGCTTATTCGGGGGAAACAGGTTTATTTTCTGTTTCCTTCCAAACTGATACTCTGGAACCCACATGGGAAACAGACATAAATTCCTGCCAGACTTAGCAAGTTTATTGAGTGTCTGTGTTTCACTGGCTGATGAAGGACACAAGAAAAAGAAGCAGATAAACCATTGTGGGTGCTTTATTAATATCCTACCCCACATAGGGGAAATCCACAGGTCACGGGACAGTCTAATATATCAGGGGGTGGTAGATAGGCTGCATGCACTCGTGGGACCTAGGCTGCACTCTCTAGTGGGACGTAGGTGGGTTGGGTTTAGGGCCAGTTCTAGATGTTTTGGGGTCGTTAAAAGCATCAGTAAGCTGGGAAACCCAGTTTTACCACCCTCTAAAATGTTGGACTGTCCTGTGATGTCATCTGGGGTAAGATATTAATAAAGAACCCCCTTTTGTTTTGCTATGTAATGTGATTATTTTTCAAATGTATATGTTTCAGGGAAAATTGGTTTTGGCAGCAGAGAGTGAGTTTGAAAGGGATCGGTGGCTGGAGACTCTGGAACAGTCAAGAAGAGTGTAAGTTTTCTTCAGTCTGAACATAAATTGGGGGTTTTTGTAGCAGAGGGATCAAGATGCTTTTTATGGCACATCGGACATCTGTTTGGCCAGTTTGTGATCAGTGTCTTGTGTCATCCCTGGCCTCTTCAGCCATGCATCATGGCTTCCATAACTTTATATATATATATATTTTTTTTAGCCACAATAACATTTAAAATAAATCATGGATGGTTGGCCGATTAGTGCAGAGTTATTTATAAGCGGCAGAGATGTGATTTTACAGATGAATGATGAGAATGCCATGAACAAATTAAAAAGTGTAAATGTAAGAAACTGACTTAGTGATTGCAAAATGGTCAGTGATTTACAGCCATTTGTTGTCACAGGGAAGATGCATATTCTGGGGTTCAGCATTTTGTTTGTTGCATATGATCAGCAACTTTAAGTTAACCTGTATTGACCATACGTTTTATGTTCTTATTAAAACATGGGAAATGATCTAAAAGAAGAAATTGCTGTCAATGCATATCAGCAACTTTAGTTATATTTGTATTGACCTTAAATTTTGTATTCATATTAGAACATCAAAAATGACAGTTTGGTGCTGAAATGATTGAAAAGAAGAAATAGCTGTCATTACCAATCAGCAACTTTGACTTATATTTGTATATAACCAAAAGTTTTATAAACCTTTTTTGTCCCTTTGTGGATTCTGGAGCCCCATTTTAGGGGGGAAAAAGAATAGACCCACTGCCGTAATAGACCCACTGCCGTAATAGACCCACTGCCGTAATACACCCACTGCCGTAATAGACCCACTGCCGTAATAGACCCACTGCCGTAATAGACCCACTGCCGTAATAGACCCACTGCCGTAATAGACCCACTGCCGTAATAGACCCACTGCCGTAATAGACCCACTGCCGTAATAGACCCACTGCCGTAATAGACCCACTGCCGTAATAGACCCACTGCCGTAATAGACCCACTGCCATAATAGACCCACTGCCATAATAGACTCACTGCCATAATAGACCCACTGCCGTAATAGACCCACTGCCGTAATAGACCCACTGCCGTAATAGACCCACTGCCGTAATAGACCCACTGCCTTTCTAACTAGCATTTAAACATGACTATTTAGGGGTTTCCCTCCAAAGTTAGAGAGTGGATCTGCCTGAGCGTTTGGAACCAGCTCAGTTGTACCTTGGTATACACTCACTTTGGTATACATTCACCTTGGTATACACTCACTTTGGTATACATTTACCTTGGTATACACTCACTTTGGCATACATTCACCTTGGTATACACTCACTTTGGTATACATTCACCTTGGTATACACTCACTTTGGTATACATTCACCTTGGTATACACTCACTTTGGTATACATTCACCTTGGTATACACTCACTTTGGTATACATTCACCTTGGTATACACTCACTTTGGTATACACTCACTTTGGTATACATTCACCTTGGTATACACTCACTTTGGTATACATTCACCTTGGTATACACTCACTTTGGTATACATTCACCTTGGTATACACTCACTTTGGTATACATTCACCTTGGTATACACTCACTTTGGTATACATTCACCTTGGTATACATTTACCTTGGTATACACTCACTTTGGTATACATTTACCTTGGTATACATTTACCTTGGTATACATTTACCTTGGTATACACTCACTTTGGTATACATTTACCTTGGTATACACTCACTAAGAGCTGAATATTGAAGAGGGTTGGCTAGTAAAGACAATAAAACAAAGAAAATTGAAATATTTTGGTCACTTGAAACGTCATGGAGGTCTAGAGAGAACAATAATGGAGGGGTATATGCCTGGGAAGAGAGGAAGAGGAAGGCCAAGGAGAAGATGGGTGCAGGATGTGGCAGATGATCTCCAGATGGGTGTATCAGACGCAGGACATCTTGCTCATGATAGGAAGGTTTTCCGGAGGGTTGTTATGGCAGCGAGGTTCCGCGAGGGACATGCTACTGAATGAATGAATGAATACACTCACTTTGGTATACATTCACCTTGGTATACATCCTGTTTAGACATGAAAGCTTTTGCTGGTTATATGACCATTGTTTGGAATCTGAACTTGTGTGAGTCAAAATTAGTCCTGACACCGCATGCTGTTTTTGTTTCACTAATTTTTTCTTCCTCTTGTTCTCTGCCTGTTAATTTTCTTGTTCAGGGTATCTTTTGTCTAGTTTTTGGTTGGTCTACCTCAACAATCTTCCTCCATAAACCTTTCTTTCTTTTACTGTTGTAGGCTTTTGGGGGCATTTAATATTGCTAAAGACACGCGTTTAGTGAGTATTCTTTGATGTGTAGTTTTTAGATGTAATGAGGAAAGATCGACTTTGGAATGATGATATCAGGAGGAGAATCGGCACAGAACTGATACTGAACTTTATAGGTATACAACAAATCAAATGGTTTGGCCATGTAACAAGATTGGCAGCAGATAGGGCACCACAGAGCAATTAATGATATACAGAGACTGTGGTAACCAACCCAGAGGTCGACCACGCAGAAGATGGACCGCAGAAATATCAGAGACATTGAAAAGTACTACATATGAAGCAAACAGAAGGGCCCATTCTAGAGATCTCTTCCTCCCCTGGTGCTGTGAGGCTTTCCAGGAGTAGAGAAAATAAAAAGAAGATAGTCCTGACACCGCACGCTGTCTTTGTTTCACTAATTTCTCTTCCTCTTGTTCTCTGCCTGTGGATTTTCATGTTCAGGATATCTCTGGTCTAGTTTTGGGTTTGTCTACCTCTACAATCTTCCTCCATTAACCTTGCTTTCTTTTACTGTTGTAGGCCTCTGGGGGCATTTAATATTGCTAAAGACACGCGTTTAGTGAGTTTTCTTTGATGTGTAGTTTTTTAAAAGTTAGTCCCTGGTCAAGCCATTTGCCTCGCGCTCTAAAGTTCGGGGGTTCGTTCAGTGGCTGGGCCCTTCAGTTCACGGGTGCAGTTTTTGTCGAAATCTCTGGGGATCGACACCGGAGCTAAGGAGTTTGTGTTCTGCGCTGGGCTCTGCGGAAAGAGATTGTGCCATATGGGATAAAAACCGGTGCAATGAATTAGATCCTCGCGACTTTTACCTTTGTCGAGACAAAGCTACGAATGGATGTCTGTAACTTTGCAGAGAGGTATCACCCTAACAAAGAACAAACAAGGTGTAATAGCATTTCCAAAACATCCTGAGGAGAAGGCAGAGGCAAAGTTCTCTTGACAGATTTTTAGTAAAAGTCAAACCTGATGAGCCTCAGCCAGGGCCAGTAGTGAAAAAAGATACACACATACACACACACACATACACTCACACACAAGTACACACACATACATACACACATACACATAAAAATAAAGTAAGTAAAGTTCCCTTTTCACGCCTTTCGGCGCATCGAGCATATGGGCAGAGCGTCCCATATTTTTACAGACCATCAGCACTCTGTGGGTAATGTGGTCAGCATTACGCCGGCTGTCTTTACTTTCCCAGGACAGCCCATCCTGGTACCCATTTTAGGCTGGGTCGACCTGTGACCTCCCCATACCACGACAAAAATCCACGCATGCAGTGGGTTTCGATCGCGGTATGCTGGCTTACGAGTCGGACTCGCAACGCCTTAGCCACGGACGCCGCACATACACACACATAAACACATACATAGACACACACCTACACACACATACACTCACACATACACACATACACACACACAAGACCACAGAGTTTCAGATTCCTGAAGTTCTATTGAAAGGAGGCTTTCCAAACAGTAACATCTTTTACTCCTCTCCTCTCAGTACCATTCTAGTAGGCACTTGACTTTCTCAGGAAGGTCAAATGTGGTTACTTTTTCATCTAATTACTTTTGATAATTGTGTTTTAGGATTAGGCAGTAAATAAATTATTTTATGCAACCCCTTCACTGTATAATGTGCCATTAACTCTTTGAGTCCCAAGGAACACATCATATGTTCATAGATTCCTACCTAGAGGCTCAATGAACACAAGATGCGCCAACTTTACGTCTCTCTTGACTACCCCTTGGGCCTGTGCTGCTAAACCCCCTGGGACTCAAAGAGTTAAAAAATAAGATTTTAAAAATCTAAGGAACAGATTAATCGTTCTCACTTTATTTCTTATAGAAAAATGTGTATACGTTCAGTTGTCACGAACGGATTAAGTACGTAGATCGAGGTACCACTGTAAGCCAGATCTGTAAAATGGATGTGCACACAAAATTCAAGTTCTGAAACAAGATTAAAGTCTAGAAGTGGACAAACAACCTGAAACTTTTGCTGGAGTTTGCAGCCGTGAATGCTAAGAAGAGGATATCCCATTTAGAACATGAACAAATTTGCATCTTGATAATATTCTTCTTTACGTTCACCGGCTGTTAACTCTGGCAGGAAGTTCTAGTTGTTCATCCACTTCTTGACTGCAGTCCTATTCCAGAACCTGAGTGTTGCCTGTGCATCCGTTTTACAGATCTGACTCATTTGTATGCAGACTGCTGGTTCCTTGCCTCTCAGGCAGATGCACTCCGACTTTGAAGAAAGCTCCCAGTTAGTCGACTCTTACGACATGCTTCTGGGTAGGCTGTGGGTCTATTCTTGGTTTCCCTATAACAGGGCCCCAGAACCCACATTTTGATAATGAAATGATAGAACAGGGTCAATTGCTACGCTTGCATATCAGCATTTTTCAGCTGGATCTTTATTGGCCATATGTTTTATATTTGTTTTAGAACATGGAAAAATACACAGCTTGGCGATGAAATGATACGAAGGCTACAGAATGAAGGACTAGAAGCAGCCATAGAAAAACAATCCTATATAGGTATGTATGAATTTTCATTCAGCTATAGGTTCAAGAGCTGAATATTGAAGAGGGTTGGCTAGTAAAGACAATAAAACAAAGAAAATTGAAATATTTTGGTCACTTGAAACGTCATGGAAGTCTAGAGAGAACAATAATGGAGGGGTATATGCCTGGGAAGAGAGGAAGAGGAAGGCCAAGGAGAAGATGGGTGCAGGATGTGGCAGATGATCTCCAGATGGGTGTATCAGACGCAGGACATCTTGCTCAGGATAGGAAGGTTTTCCGGAGGGTTGTTATGGCAGCGAGGTTCCGCGAGGGACATGCTACTGAATGAATGAATAGGTTCATTATCATCAATCAGACAAGGCAGATGAGGTCAGAGCCCTTTGGGAACAAGTAACGAAGTCAGAAGAGAAACTATATTATTATGGGCTGGAGAGAATGAGGCATCTGGGTGTGACCAGAAGGTTCGGTCGGCACACTACGTTCAGCGGAAAGGCAAGAAGGACATTCAACCAGACTATGACCAGCACCATTAGTATTGGAACTCTGCGCTGGCTGCTGAGGATGGGGATGGAGGGCATATGGGAATGACCCGAGTGCTGTGATGTCAATTCTTGATTTAACTCAACTTAAAATTATCAATCAGGTGGTCCTTTACCGAACATTGTTCTCTCTATGGCATGCCTGTCATACCATCATCATCGTCATGTGCCATGCCGGTAAGCGTTGACTGTCATGTTTCACTAACTCACATAATCACCAGAATCACAGATCAGTTCAATGTTTTTGTCTAGCGTCATCCATCTGGCTAGGCAATCCAGGTATTTATCTCTTTGCCTTCCTCTTGCTCTCTTTCCATCAATCTTGCCAGTTGTTACCAACAAGTTCTCAAGTTCACTTCTTCTCATAACAATGTCCAAAAACAATTTGACTGTCTAGTCTAATTGTTCTGATAAGTTTGTGACTTTTATTTCCCTTGTTGAGGATCGCTTCATTTGTTTTTCTATCCTTACATGACATCGACCTGGCTGCCACGAGATATGAAGATAAGTAATATTGGGTATTTATTTGTTGTAGTATTGTCTTATCTATGTATGTGCTGAAGAAGCCTCCATATCGTTCACGTTCAGGTTTTTTTTGTGTGTTTGTTATATTGTGAAGCTTGTTGATATACTTTTCGTTCTGTTTTATATCTTTTCCTGGTATCCTTACATGAAATTTGTTGCATTTTTATCAGAAACCATGTCTCTACACGGATAATTAGTAAATAAACCAGATCGGTCTTTGAGACCTCAGAGATGTGGTTTTAAGTCTTTGAGTCCCAAGGAACCCATCATACGTTCATAGGTTCCTACCTAGAAGCCCATTAAACGCAAGATGCGCCGATTTTATTACTTTCTTTACAACCCCCTGGTCCTGTGATGCTAAACCCCCTGGGACTCAAAGAGTTAAAGAAGAAGAATGCTGAAAATACTTTGGACAACTATGAAGAATCATCTGAACCATTCTTTGTTTTCTTCCCATGTCTTATGGAATTAACAGTATTTTTAATTGTTTGTTTTTTAACATAGATCGGCTGCAGTTGGAAGTGCTGGCTCTTTCTGAAGAAAAAATAAAATCTGAGGTTTGTGGTTAGATTGTAACGTGTGCAGTTTGCACTGTCTGTTTTTGGTTAAAAAGGTTAAAGGTTAAAGTCGGGAGGATCGACTTCATCGCACCAGGTTTTCATCCCATTTGGCCCAGTCTCTCTCTGCAGAATGGCTAGCCGCTTGCTGAGAGCGCTGCACAGAACACTAACTCTGTAGCTCTGGCGATGATCCCCAGGGATCTCCGTAAAAATTGCACTCGTGAACTGAAGGGTGCAGCGATGGAATGAACCCATGACCTACAGAGCGCGAAGCAAACGGCTTGACCACTTCGCCGCAGAGATCCCCTGGTTTTCAGTTAAAGTCAAATGTAGATTTTAAATTGTTATTTTTTTGTTTTGATTTGGTGCCCATTAGGGAAGCACAAAATGGTAACATTGCAAGCTGTCACATTATATATTACATTGCAAGAATTGTGAAGCCCAGAGGACTAACCCATACTAAATATAACATGCTGCTGTCAGCTTATGACAGTAGAAACCATGCTGGAGATAGATACCTCTAGAGAATCACACGGAAGGATTAAACAGTACATCACCAGAACAGGGGTTGGCATATGAGGTTTTAATATATTTTAAGACAATATCCCAGATTGTCGGCTCTGTGGCTAAGTCGATGCAAACGCTTCATAATGCTGGGATGCCGGGTTCGATCCCTGCTGCGGGCCATGATTCAACAGTGGGATCAAAGAAGCTGACCGTCCAGAAAGCAATGGCAAACTACTGGATGTAAATTTGCCTAGAAAAACCACACAACAGCCAGGGGCTGTTGGGGTTGGTTCTGCAGTGTCCTGTAAAGGATACACAACTAATCTATCCCAGATTACTTTAAATATTTCTATAGGTAATTCATCATCAAGTACCTTGCTGACTGGTGTGGGCGATCATGCCTCTCCACAATCTGCGATCCGCAACTGTGTGTATCAGTTCATGTGTTGACACTCCTCCATGCCATGACAACAGGCTGTCAAGAATCTTTTCATGCTGTCTTCCTCTGTCTCTCTTTCCACAAATCTTTCCAGTGGTTACAACATGTTCCTTTTCCCCTCTTCTCATAACATGAACCAAAAAAAAAGATGACTGTTTCTTTGTGATGTTTTTGATAGGCTGTCTACGAGTGCCTGCCTAGATTACACGTTAAAATTATCACAGTTATTTAAAAAATGGTCATTTGTTAAACTTAACACTCTATAATCCTACAATCTATTACAATTAATAAATAGTCTGTGGAGTATTAGATAACTAGTTGTAATTGACAAACATAAACACCAATATCAAAATAAAAGAAAGCTCTGTGTGTCCCAGTTTTAACCTAGATAAGTACAGAGTTTGATCTTGTTCCCAGAGGGCCTTGTTAAGGCAGATGTGGTCAAGGCCCTTTGGGAACAAGCAACGGAATCAGTAGAGTGTTAAGTTTAACAAATGACTATTTCTCAGAGGAGAAAGAAGATTATTATGGCCTGGAGAGAATGAGGCACTTGGGTGTAACCAGAGGGTCTGGCCGGCTTACTGCACTCAGAGGAAGGGCAAGACAAACATATAACCAGATTGTTACAGGTACCATTGGTATTAGAACTCTGCGCTGGCTGCTGAAGATGAGGACAGAGCACACATGGGAATGCCCTGTGCTGGGATGTAAATTCTTGACTCACCTCAACTCAACTCTAGCTGTCCGGAGGCTGTATTTTTGCCCAGATGTAAACTGTAATTGGAAACTGACCAGAGACTACTAAACTGTCACCGTCTCAACAGGAACCCACCTGTAAGTCCGCACATGACAGGCTTGCAAAAGAAATGATTGACAACAACACAGGACAGCACTTAGGAACTGTAATGTTCCACACCCTGAGAATGTATCCAAAAGGTTGACTAATTTAGGACTTTTCTGAAGGTGAATCCATGTGGCTTGAGCTATGTGCGCAGTTCATATTTATTGCATTCGTCAGTCTTAGAATTCCTGGTGACTCTCGTTTCTTCATGTACTGTTTTGCCAGGTTTTGAAGAAAAGTTCAGTGACTGCGTTTACTCATGCATAACTTCACACCTTGACCTTAGACATATTTTTAGATTATCAACAATTTACGTCTACTCACTTAAATACAGAATCAACATGCAACAGTACCTTTCTTTTTTTTTCCTTAGAGATAAAAAGCAAAAATAAAAAGATACAATTAGTAACCTTAATAACCAACCCAGGGCTAATTAACTTGAAAATTTAAATGTAAAAAGTTATTCTTATGAAATATGAGATGAAATCTGGTTCTTAATTTGGTAAGTCTGATTTAATATTATTCATTTTTTTTTTCTTTCAGGAGTTGGAGAGGTTAAACCAAGAGTTGGAGGAAGAGAAACAGAAGCTTGCATCTTTCACTAAAGAAATTCAAGAAGAATATGACCGAATTAAAGAGTAAATTTTGAAGCTTATTTGTTTTTTAAATCAACAATTATTTAAAAAAAAAAAAATTTTCAAGTTATGTCAAGTCAAATACATCATTCTTATATGCCAGTTGGTAACAGAAAGTATAAGCTTAGCATCATGCCTCTAGTAAGCCGTCTTCTTCTTCTTCTTCTTCTTCTTCTTCTTGTTATCATCCAGTGGAGCCTTGGCTGTCACTTAACTCTCTTCAAACCTGACTATCTCTTTTAACCTTATTGATTCTAGTTTGTAGCTAGAGTTTCATATGAGATTGCATACATTCAGTAAAGTTTATTCATTAAGTCACTGTGTTCTTTATTCCCTTTTGGAGGTAAACCCATCAACCATCTTCAAACTCTACTATATCTTTTGACTCGCCCGTAATTATTACAGTTTGCAGCTGAAGCTTCGTATGAGATGAGACTGCATACATATGAAACAGCCCATAAAGTACATTCATTAAGTCACTGTGTTCTTTATCCCCTTTTGGAGGTCAAGCCATTAACCATTTTCAAACCCTACTATCTCTTTTGACTTGCCCATAATTGGTTATAGTTTGGACGTCAAGTTTTCACTGGCATTATCCTTATGGAAACTTGTTATTGGCTGGTGAAGAAGGAAAAAGAGCATATGTGGAAATTTCCCTGAGTGCAGTCCAATTTATTCAGTCACTCGTGCAATTATTCTTGCTATGTTCATGTTATTAATGTGTTTCAGGGAGTTGAATGAAACTGTCAATTTAGTCAAACAAGTTGAGGAAGACAGAATAGTTCTCTCACAATCGTTGCAGCAACAAAGGCAGCATTTAGAGGTATGTTCATGTGAACAAACTAACTATTGCTGATTTGTGTTTTTACATAAAAACCATTAGGTTTGCCTTAATTAGTTGGTTGTTCGTTTGGTAAACGCTATGTCCAGTACTGAGGCATTCAGGTATTTTAAGCGCCCTGGTTACAGACAAACAGCAAGGTACCAAAGTACCATGTTCAGGGGGACTGTAATGCAGAATTCTACTTCCCTCTAAGCTGAGAAAACCATGCAATGTTCAAGAATGTGGGTAAAGGAACTTCACATCTTCTTCTTTTTCATATTCACTGGCTGTAAACATCGGAAAGGTCTCGTTATCAACTTCAGAGCTTTAGTCTTGTTCCAGCACCTGAGTTTTGTCTGAACTTCTGTTTTACAGATCTGGTGTATTTGTTTGCAGACTTTTAGTTGCTCGCTTCTCAGGCAGATGCACTCAGACTTCAGTCATCTAGGGTTGACTTTCAGTCATTTATGTCCCTGCCTTGGCTCCAATCAGCAACTATACTGCACTCTACCTGGTAAATTGTCCTGGAAACATTCATTCTTGAATCAGCAACTATACTGCACTCTACCTGGTAAATTGTCCTGGAAACATTCATACTTGAATCAGCAACTATACTGCACTCTACCTGGTAAATTGTCCTGGAAACATTCATTCTTGAATCAGCAACTATACTGCACTCTACCTGGTAAATTGGAAACATCCTGGAAAGCAACATTGCATTCTGGTGAATCAGCAACTATACTGCACTCTACCTGGTAAATTGTCCTGGAAACATTCATTCTTGAATCAGCAACTATACTGCACTCTACCTGGTAAATTGTCCTGGAAACATTCATTCTTGAATCAGCAACTATACTGCACTCTACCTGGTAAATTGTCCTGGAAACATTCATTCTTGAATCAGCAACTATACTGCACTCTACCTGGTAAATTGTCCTGGAAACATTCATTCTTGAATCAGCAACTATACTGCACTCTACCTGGTAAATTGTCCTGGAAACATTCATTCTTGAATCAGCAACTATACTGCACTCTACCTGGTAAATTGTCCTGGAAACATTCATTCTTGAATCAGCAACTATACTGCACTCTACCTGGTAAATTGTCCTGGAAACATTCATTCTTGAATCAGCAACTATACTGCACTCTACCTGGTAAATTGTCCTGGAAACATTCATTCTTGAATCAGCAACTATACTGCACTCTACCTGGTAAATTGTCCTGGAAACATTCATTCTTGAATCAGCAACTATACTGCACTCTACCTGGTAAATTGTCCTGGAAACATTCATTCTTGAATCAGCAACTATACTGCACTCTACCTGGTAAATTGTCCTGGAAACATTCATTCTTGAATCAGCAACTATACTGCACTCTACCTGGTAAATTGTCCTGGAAACATTCATTCTTGAATCAGCAACTATACTGCACTCTACCTGGTAAATTGTCCTGGAAACATTCATTCTTGAATCAGCAACTATACTGCACTCTACCTGGTAAATTGTCCTGGAAACATTCATTCTTGAATCAGCAACTATACTGCACTCTACCTGGTAAATTGTCCTGGAAACATTCATTCTTGAATCAGCAACTATACTGCACTCTACCTGGTAAATTGTCCTGGAAACATTCATTCTTGAATCAGCAACTATACTGCACTCTACCTGGTAAATTGTCCTGGAAACATTCATTCTTGAATCAGCAACTATACTGCACTCTACCTGGTAAATTGTCCTGGAAACATTCATTCTTGAATCAGCAACTATACTGCACTCTACCTGGTAAATTGTCCTGGAAACATTCATTCTTGAATCAGCAACTATACTGCACTCTACCTGGTAAATTGTCCTGGAAACATTCATTCTTGAATCAGCAACTATACTGCACTCTACCTGGTAAATTGTCCTGGAAACATTCATTCTTGAATCAGCAACTATACTGCACTCTACCTGGTAAATTGTCCTGGAAACATTCATTCTTGAATCAGCAACTATACTGCACTCTACCTGGTAAATTGTCCTGGAAACATTCATTCTTGAATCAGCATAGCTCCCGCTTTGCATTTGCTCACAGTAAACAAACCAGCATACATGGCCAGGTTCACACTGCCAGAATCAGTCACTTTTATTAACATAATCACTCAATCACTCGTCCAACTCAGGCATATGTAGAGATTCACCACTCGGATCACATAAAAGTGCCACAAGCAGAAGGCCATTCGGTCTTTCTTGCTTCAAAAATATTTCTCTCTAGTTTACATACTTCTTAAATATCGTTCACTTTCTCACTCAATTCTTGCATTGTTCCTGTTTCCTGATATTAAACCATGAACTATGCCTTGTCTTCAATCAGTCAAGTCCTACTTTCTTTCAGGAATCCCCGTCCAAGCCAGTGGTCATCTAAAACCCAACTCCAGTCCATTACTTATGTAAATTAGGGTTTCCTTTGACCTCTATAGGTAATCACTACAAATGTGACATTACAGTTGGTTCATTGTTGGCAGACCTCAACCCAGTATGGGGAGGGTGTTAGTTTTTGTAAAAACACACTTGGTTTGCAAAAAGTAGATAACTCAACAGCATTCAAATCAGCAACAACTTTGTTGATTCCCACAAAGAAAAGTTATCTCCATACTCTTTATCTTTCCTTAAATTGGTAATTATTCTACACATTATCATTTTATTATCATTAATTGTTTTCTTCTCCATCTTTTCCTCTGATTTCTTCTCCTCCTCCTCCTCTTCTTTTTTTTAAAACTAATGCTCATTTGTATGCTGTTTCTTCTCCCTCTGTTCTTCCTTCTCCTCCTCCTTCTTCTGCTCTTCCCACTTCTCAGTCATCACCATCAAGTGTTATTTCATTTAGCAAATATTTTACATATTAGTTTCTATTCTGACACAGTTTGTAGATCTGTGTAAATTCATGCCTAATACAGAATTTAAACAAAGACAAACAAAGAATTCTTGAGGAGTTACAACAAAGCATGCAGGAGCAGACGTGTCTGAGCCAGGAGAAGAAGTCCTTGTCTCAGAGAACAGAAGAGCTCCAGCTTCAGTTGCAAGATATTGAAAGTCAGACTAGCAGTATAGAGAGAACACGAATCTCAGCAGAAAGGAGGTAAATTAAAAAAGTTGCACTCATTTTTGGTGATTGTGTTTGTTTATTATTATTTATAATGCATAAGTAAAGTATGAATATTTGTAATAAAATATTTAAAAACTTCTACTCGGACTGTCATATTCTGTGTATATAATCTATATTTCATTATCTATATTGGCTTCTTCTTATTCTTCTTTCATTCGCTTGAAATAGATTATCTATATCCGCAGTGTTGTCTCTAGTATCACTGTCTTTTGTAATTCACTCAGTGACCCATAAAGTTTGACTTGCACCGATGTTTCTCTTGGCCAAAAGTTTTGCCTTGATGTGTTGTATTTGGGACAGTCTTGGAGGACATGATCTGTTGTCTCAGGTGCCAACCCAAATGTTCACATGGCTGATTTGCCAATTTTAAGTTTTGTGCACATGTGGCTGCGAAGTCAATTTGTCCTGTTCTAAGATTGGCCGATTCTGCACGAATTGATGGCTTATAGGAATGTCCTCATAACTCTTCATTTAAAAAAAAAAAAACAATAAAAGATGTTACAAGACTTATGTGGGTATTTTCGTAGTCATCATTGTATAGCAGGTCCTTTGCAGAATGTCACTCCCATTGCAGTTGCTGGAAATTCTCTCAGTCCCTTACAAATTTAGGGAATTGCCATGGCAGAGTGGCTAGACGCTCTCTGTGAATCGGCAGGTCCCTGGCGGAGCCGTACTTTAAAAAAAAAAATAACCTTGGCTCCCAGTTCGACCCAGCCTTAAGTGGTTACTGGGTGCAGTCTCAGGAAGTAAAGGTAGTCGGCATGATGCTGACCACCTCACCCATCTTGTGCCGATTGGTCTATAAAATATAGGCCTAGCCCTATATGCCCTATACGCCTAAAGGCATGGAAAAGGGTCGTTTACTTTTACTTACAAATTTACCTTTCATGTGTATTTTCCTTGCCCAAGGTATGTGTACTCTCCTGTGTCTGTCTTTTTTGCTGGTGAATCACTGGCTTTTCTGACAGAAACCATATCTTTCATCACTGTTGTTTCTAAACAGCTGTAGTGTAGTGTTCAATTTCGGCCAAAGAATTTTAGTTTCCTTAACATACTGTTGTTAGGATGCCCAAAGGAAACCCCAATATGAACGTTATGAGAGAGGCCAAAGCTGCTGGACTAGATTCCATCTATGATATCCAACTGATTGCACAGGATACAGTGGAATGGAAGAATAGACTATGAGCCCTGTATGATCTGTTGAATGTTGATGTTGAATTAAGAATCAACATCACAGCACTCGGGACATTCCCAGTCCCCATCTTCAGCAGCCAGCGAAGAGTTCAAATTCTGATGGTACCAGTAACCGTCTGATTGTATATCCATCTCATCCTTTCCCTGAGTGTTGAGCATCAGCCAGTCCTCTAGTAACTCCTCGCAGGGCCATTCTCCTCAGACCATAATAATCTATCTGCACCTCCGCACTGTTCACCCGTTCCCAAAGGGCCCTCACATTATCTAACTTATCATACATCAGTTAACCACCAAGTGGTGCAGAGCCAGCCGGTCTATCTGGCTGCTCATTTCCCAACACACCGGCATAACCTGGAGAGAATATCCAAAGGATTTCTATGTGAAATATTATAGTAAGGTTAGTTGAGTATCCTTTACAGGACGTTGCAGAACCAACCCCAACAGCCCATGGCTGTGGTGTGGTTTTTCTAGGCAAATTTACATCCAGTAGTTTGCCATTGCTTTCTGGACGGTCGGCTTTCTTGATACCACTGTCGAAACCAACGCAAGGCGCATGGCCCACAGCTGGGATCGAACCCGGCATCCTGTCATTATGAAGCGTTCGCATCGACTTAGCCACAGAGGCGACGACATATTATAGTACAGCAGGATAATGAATGAATATTTATGTAACGAGCTGATGAAGGCTTTCTAGCCTCAACATTGTCTTGTTTTTGTGTGTTTATAATACTGTAAAGCTGACTAGTTCTACTTGTCATTGAACTTTTCATGATACGTAGATTGAGAGACAACGAAGAAAGACTTGAGCAGCTCGAAGCGGAGAAAACTGCCATCACAAATCACGCTCATGAGCTGGAGTTCACGATACACGACCTTGTGTCGCAGAAAGAGATGACTGAAAAAGAGTTGAAGGTGTGTGTTTTCTTATCTAAACGCTGGGCATGTTTGTATTGTTTGTATTAAAAATAAATTATTTTTTGAAGAACTAACTTGTCATCTGCAGAGAATTTTTACTATTTATATTGTACAATTATATAGGATAGTAGATCTTTATATAATCATAATATTTTTTTCCCGCATTTCTGTCCAGTCAAGGTCTTATACATACAATCATCTTATACTTGGGGAAATACAGTATGTGAAGCGTGTTATTGATGAATAACAGAATCTTTTTTGTTTTCTGCCTGAATCCTTTTGCTCCATAAAAATCTTAATAATGACTCTTTTCAGAATTTTGTTAAAAAGAAATACATCATTAAAATTCTCTGAAATGTTACCCTAAAAACTAGAATGAGAGAAGAAGAAGAAGCGAAAGAAATTTGGAGTTTTGGCCAGTTTGTAAAACAATCCAGGGGTTAAAACCTATGATTACCAAGCAGACGGGCAAGCCTGCTAGCTATTTCATCAGCGCTTGGCACCAAGTCACTAAAAAAGATGAGTTTTTCGTATTTACTATTGTACGCAAAAGTGATTAAAAATGTTTTTAAATTTAACTTGGAGATGATTTAACTGAATCCATTTGCTTATAATATTGACTGCATTAGGTTATACTAACTGGTTGCCTGTGAATTCATTGACATTTTCTTGTTCACATTCCAGGAAGAAATTAGGGCGAGAATCTCGGCGGAGGAAAGATTGAAAGAAGCTGAGAGGTCTTTGAGGTGTATTGACAAAGCTGTGAATTCACAGTCACATCGAATTGAAAGTGAGGCTAAAGAAGAAATGACAGTAAACGTCAAAAAGCTGAAAGGTTTGTACAGCTATATTTGTAATATTTAAACATGTATTTAAATTGTTGAACAAATGTTTCACATCTTTGAACTGCGGATACAGTTTATAAGTTTTTAGGTGTTATGTGTCATTTTAAGTCTTCTTTTCTGCCATTCTAACCCCCAGTGGAGCATAGACTCTCAACCAACTCACGTCAAGTTGTTCTATCCTTCGCTGTCGCATTCAGTTCTACCCATGTCTTCCCTATCTGTCTAACTTCACTCTCTAGGTCCCTTCTATTTTTTTAAAATCATAAGCAGTCTTTAAAAAGTCTTTATTCTTCATACACTGGATCAGTTATTTAAACTGGCGGAAGCAATGGCAGTTTAAGGCAAACAATGAGATGTTTTGTAAAGAAAAATGATCACTTTGTTAATCATAGACTTCCATGGTAAACACATGGTTAATTTTAGAAATCCATTGGTGAAATGTACACAGTAACAAAGGACAATGGGATTTGTTTATTTACTTTGAAGAGATTCTTGTAATGTGCTTCATTATTTGTTGATGTAAATCTGTGATAATCCAGTTAGTGAAATACAGCAAAATATGCCTGGCAATATATTATACAATAAACTGTTTGTGTCTCATTATTTAAAGATGAAATAAATATTAATATACCGAAGTGGAATTCATTTTGAAATGTATTTGAACTGTTCACAAATTTGTCTTTGTTTTATTGTTTTACTTTCTTTTCTTTCTTCTTTAAAAAAAAAAATTTCAACACAGACTTCTTTGAAGATTTAGCAGAGGAAGCAAGAATTACATCTGATAAGCCACTGATCATTCGAAATGGAATTATGGCCAGGAAAACTATTGCTAGGCGAGCGCAGACTTTGAGATACGAGAACAGGAAGAGGTCAACAAGTAAGTTTATACAATTACATTTCTTCTTTGTTCATTCAGTATATTTGTTTCTAGATGTGACTGCAGTGTGCTAGTTTACGGCAGAGCTGATGTATTTTTGTAGAAACATCCAACTTCTTCTGGCATTGTCTGGCTTAGCATTTCTGGCAAATTCATTAATAATCAAACCTGGTTTTAAAGTATTCAGCATTTTTCCAGTTGATTTTACCAAATATGTTTTTTGTAATTTATTTATGTTTGATTTGTTTTTATGCTCAACTTTTTAATTAATTTAAAAAGATGTACCTTAGATACATTATTCAGAAATTAACTCTTAGCGTGAGATGACTTTTAAGCGTTTGGCATCATTACTAGTTGCTTTCCCCATTTCTTTTTGTTTCAGTATATTAGATTTTAAATTTATGTATGTTTTAGATTGTTTTTAAATTTGAATTAGCAGCAGACAAACATGTTTTGTATCACTTTAGTTTTACTTTTCTTTATTGTCTTTTCAGTTGCATTTTTTCATTTTCTCTTTATAGTTTTATGACCTTTTTTTAAAAAATGTTTATGTGGAGCATTTTGTTTTGAGTTATGATGGTAGGGAGGGTCACAAGGGGAAAAAAATGGTCACACCACTTTATAAACATGAATTATTGAATCACTAATCACCATGTCACTAATTCACACGCATGAAAGCAGTACTTGCTTGTTACTGGAATCTGAGATGTATTGTGGAAATGAACCTAACGATGCCTGCAGTGAGAGTATGAAGTGTGAAATAATAGAAACATCAAGAGGCAGAGGCAGACCTAGAAGATGGATTGAAGGAGTCACTGACAACTTAAGACCTCACAAATTAAAAAGCATACCAAGTACCCGGGTGTGCTCTGGCTGAGCTACCTACCGTTCATTAAACTGCAACGCTTAGCAGCACAGCGTGGATACTGACAAAATAAGAAGCAGAGATAAAAACAGTTTGGTGGAAAGCAGTGCTGACTTGCTCTGAATTAGACAACTACCACTGATTTTAGTATGCAGGCACATGAACTCTTTCAGCACACAGATGCAATGTTTACAGTTAGAACTAATTTAATCTGAAATCCTTTGGAAGTGAGTCAACAGTGCGGAGGCAAAAATATATCCATAAGGTCTGAGAAGAATGGCGCTGCAAAGAGTTACCAGGAGGGGATCTGGCCGACGCTCTACACTCAAGAGAAGGATGAAACGGATATACAATCAGATAGTTGCTGAGGGTTATGATGTCGATTCCTAATTCAGCACTCAGTCTGACAGTAGTTTTTAAATAACTGTAAGACTACTTGGCCACCAGAAGAAAAAAACTTACTTGAGCAGGTGCCCTATCTCAAGATCAGACCCAAGTAGTTAGTTCACTGTAGAAACTGAATGTGTTTATCACTATTGGTTGTTTTCTGAGAAATTATCATTTTTACATATTTTAAAATGTCTTTTATATCATACAATTGTCTGCCTAAGTAGAATGCTACTATTTTACATTTATATCTTTCTGTATTTGTTTAATCGTAGTCTGCCAGCTTTCTTTTGGAATTCATCAGTTTGTGAATATTGATCTTGCTGAAATATTACAGAGAAATTACACATCATACTTGAAGACAACCTCTGTAATTTTGTCATCTGTCTCAACACAGCGGATTCACAATATTTTAGTGCAATTTAAAATAAGCTAAAAAACAGAAAAGAAAGCTGTGAAACAAACAATACAGTTTCAAAAAGTAAAGCTGCACTAGTGTATGTATTGTTCTGTTTTATAATATTTTTATACCATTTCTTTCAGTTTTCCAGTTGTTTGATATCAACAGGTATTCATCCAGTTAAATATTTATAGAAACTTCTGTTTTCATATATTTGTACATATATTGTATAAACTTTGACTTGATTTGAAGCTACAGTTGCACAAATTCATGTTTTTACTCACTGAACACGTAGCAAGGCATTATAAATTGAATAGTACTTGTGACCAGGCAGTTTCATTTTCTGAACGCACTCTAGGAAGACAATCTACAAGTTTACTTCTTTTAGAAGGATGAATATCTTAGAAGGCAGTTGGGTTGGCAAAATAATTGTTAAACATTTGCTGCAGAGCAGATATTATCTGCCATAAACCCTCAGCATTTGAAGTTAAACTCTGGAGAAAAGAGAGCCCTGTTACCGAGACACTATGAAAGCAGAGCTAGAGGTTGACAATGCAAGCCATAGATAGATAGCAAATACGAGGCCATAAAGACCAGAATTTGCATACCACATACAAGGCTCGCACCCAATGCCTCTTCAAAATCTGGCACTGAAAGGCAGAACAGGACTAAAGAAGAAAAAGAAAAATCAAACTCTGGAGATGTCAGCAACTTCAAGTTGGCTGCTGTTTTCTCTAAGAATATTGAAGCTGAGTTTTAAAATCTGAAGAAGAAGAAGAAGAGGATGAAGAAAAACAAGGATGGAAAATAACCAGCCTAGTCCTGACTGGATTACCAGTCTTATCTAATTAAAGCAGATTCATGCTTCAAGGTGTCAGGGACTTTCTCTTTGGCCCTTCTTCAGTTAGCAGAAAGTTTCATATGGTTCATGAAGTACCTCTTGCGAAGGCTGGAATAATGAGGAATGTGCATACTGTAGGCACTTTTATTATTTAAAACACATAATGTACCTGTTTCAGTGCATCATCATCATCATCATCATCATCAGGTCCTGTGCTGAATGTCATTCTCATCACGGTCTGCCTGAAAGAATCTCCGTCTCTTGCCAGGTCTCATGCACTTTCCTACACAAGATGTCACCTATTTCCTGTGCCCTGTTTGTGCTGGTCGGCCCCTGCCCATCTTTCCGGGTCCCATGCCTTCTACTTTTATTTGTTCCACTCCTCTGACACTTGATATGGCCAATCTTTCTTGAGGTTCAGATCTTGCAGGATGTCAGAATCTCTTTTCTTCTTATTCCATGAATTAATCAAGTAACAGAAAGTGTATTGATCCGCACTCATAGAAAGAAGTAGAAAGGTAGAAGAACACACTAGAAAACATAAAAATTGAAAGCTTTAGTTACCGTGCCGGGAATTGAACCTGTCACCTCCAGACGGCATCTGCGCCTCGCCATGGATACAAGTGCACTGAGAACATGGTCAACTAGGCACCCCCCGATAACTATAGCTTTCGATTTTTATGTTGTCTAGTGTGTTCTTCCACCTTTCTACTTCTTTCTATGAGTGCCAATTAATACACTTTCTGTTACTTGATTAATTAATAATATTTAACGGGCTCTAAGGTTCCCCCTCTGTTTATTCTTACTACATGGTAAGTCTCTTGGGATAATAATGTGGTAGTTTTCGGTTACTTTCCACATCCACATGGTTCTAGACTATACCCTCAGCCTTTGACAGCCTTTTAGAGTTAAGTACCTAGAGGTTCTTCTTCTTCTTCGTTCACCGGCTGTGAATTCCGGTGGAAGGTCCAGGTAGATCCTCCATTTGGACTTTTGGCTTTTACCTGGATCTGAGTTTTGCGTGTACAACCATTTTACTTGCTTTTGTCGTTCCCTGCCTCGCGGCAGATGTACTCCGACTTCGAGGGAAAACTTCCTAGAGGTGAATTTTGCATTTGGTGTGAGCCCCAGTTTTCTAATAGGTCAGAGGTCCCGTGGTATGTGATATCAATATTGCAGCCATTACCTTCAAGAACATTTGCTGGTTTTAGGCTACTGGGGCTCTTAATATATTGACAGTAGGGGCTTTTCCTCCCTACAACCTCTGATATCACAAACCCTGTAGGAAACCAGGATATCATTAAATGTTCATTCTTTGTGCATCACTTGCTTTTCTTTATCGTTTCTTCTTTTTCCTGTTCACAAGCTGTAAACTCCGACAGGAAGTTTGGTTATTGAGCCATTTCTAGACTTAAAATCTTTTTCTAAAACTTGAGTTTTGTATGCACTTCTGTTTTACAGATCTGGCTTATACTGTTGGTTCTTCACCTCTTAGAAGGAAAACCTCTAATTACTCTACCTTTACAACAAGCTTGTAAACGGGCCAGTGGGTTTGAACTCACATAAAAAGCTTATCTTTTGAAAATAGAAGTGTTTTGGTCATGCAGGAAGTAATTGTTCAGGATGTAATGATTTGCCTTGCTTATAATGAGTTAACATACTTTTTAGATTAATTATTGGATGTATTGTTTAGGAGACAGTATATAAAGAGTTTAAAAACACATAAAATACAGAGAAAATGTAAGAAGAAGAAAGAAGAAACAAGAAAACAAAATAAAGATAAAGTATGTTAAGAAGAATGAGTTAATAACTGAAAACTTGTAACAAATTGGCAACCAATGAGCTTTAAACCAAGTCAGAGTTGCAATGTGCTTTCACTTCCAGACATAAAATCTAACATCCTAGTTATTTGGCATGTTTTGTTTTTGTTCTGTGGGCTGTCGATGTTGTGATTCTTGTTATTTTTGTGAAGCAGATTGGCAGACATTTCTCTGTGACTTTCACAGTGTAATCTTCCCTCTGCACATCCTCCAACCGACAGTCTAGTCATCCCCTTGTGGAATGCAATTTTTCGTTATTTTGAAGCCCCACCCTGGCTCTTGCCACAGGCCGCAATATAGCCCTGCCATAAGTATGGCCAAATGGCTGAACGCAGTTTCTGGGACCTCTCCATAGGTGATCCTTATCCACATGGTTGCACTTTGTGTCATCGGGTGTTTATCGCATGTGTGATGTCCTAGTTGGGTAAAATGTACTACTACTACTTCCCTCTGCACATCCACTTTACCCTGTCCGTGCTTCAGAACACTTAATAAGCATTGGGGGCACCACAAAACCTTGCAGTTGAATGGGGTTTATGAGCCTTGTACCATCCGAATAGCAATTCTCTAGGCTACCGGGTGTTAGCTGCTCAGTCTGTTGTCCTAGTAGGGTTCAACTTCACTCATTCACTGCATGCTTGTGCAGAGAACAATTTGTACAAGTAAGTAGTTGAAATTTTTCAAAGA